AAAGTGATATGGAAAGATGGTTATCTCTTCTTGATTGTCTCCAATTTTGAGCTGGATCGGACGGTGAGAAAGTCTTCATTTGTGGCTGAACTTCTGACGGTCTGACTCTGAGCTAAAAATGTGGATTTTTTCCATTTGCCATCATATTCCATAAATTTCCTGAAAAGACCTTGAAACTACAAATACATGGAAATCATAATAAAAGTTCCTAAAAAAAAGTAAAACCTTTGAAAAGCATTTGAAATCAATGGTGAAAAGTGGTCAAAATCAGGTGTTATCAGTTTTCGCTATCTTCACAAGGTTGAAATGGATCCTTGTTAATATCAAGTGAATTGGATACTCAAAGGAGTTATTTATCCATTTTAAAACGTTTTAACACCCTCTTGGTGTAATTTGATTGATGTACAAATATTCCATCTTAGAAATGCTCATTCTGGAGCCCTAGACAAAATTTTGTCTTTCCAAGATCTTTCATTTCGAACTCTTCTTTCATGTGAGTTCTTGCATCATCAATCTCTTTTTGAGCTCCGATTATGTTCAGGTCATCAACATATACAGAAATGATCACAAATCCTGATAAAGATTTCTTAACAAAACAAGCAAAGGCATATCGCATTGTTGATGTATCCTTTACTCAACAAATATTCACTCAAGTGCTTATACCACATGCGTCCGAATTGTTTTAATCCGTAAAGTGATCACTGTAATTTGACCGAACATATGTCTTTAGATGTTTCAGGCATCTTTGTGGGATCTTTACTCCCTCTGGGATTTTCATATATATATATATATATATATCACTATCAAGTAATCCATATAGATATGCAGTCACAACATCCATAAGGTACATGTCTAGATTTTTAGATGCCAATAGGCTCATTAAGTACATGAATGTGACTGCATCCATGACCAGAGAATATGTATCTTCATAATCAATTCCAGGTCTTCGAAAAAAATCTTATGCCACAAATCGGGCTTTATATCTTGTGACCTCGTTTTTCTCATTTCTTTTTGTCACAAAAATCCATTTGCACCCGACTGGCATTACATCTTCAGGTGTAATAGGTCCAAAGACATTTTTTTTATTCAGAGATATTAATTCATTTCTCATGCCATTTGCCATTTTTTCTAGTCAGGTTTTCTCTGGCACTCTGACACGGACTTTGGGTCTGGATCATCATTTTCATTATCAATTTCTTTAGATTCCAAAAAATAGAATATTTCATTTATATCATTTATCTCGCTTCTAGCCCATAATGTCCCATTTTGGGCGGAGTTAATGGTCTCATACTTTTCAATATCATGTTCGTCTTCTGGAAGAACTTATTTAATTGGTTCTTCTAGAACCTCTCATGTATGTCTTTAGGACATATATCTCTATATGGTTCTTCTAGAACATTTTCACAAATGTCTTGAGGACATTTTTCTTTATTCGGTTCTGGAACCTTGTCTCCCAATTTTTTTTCTTTCAAGGATTTTTATCTTTCAAGCCCATCGGCTTCTCGTGCTTTAATTGAACTTGCGATTCATTTGCTTTATTCCCATCAGTAACTTGTTCCGGAACATTTATTTTTGATGGAGCATTAGCAGCGTAGATATATGATTTTGCCACCTTTCTCGAATCTGTGAGCGCATCAGGTAAACTGGTTTGCCAAACTTTGCAAATGTATAATTTTCTGAACTTCCACCTCGCGTTGATGGGTAGGAGGATCGAGATAAGCCAAGGTTTGTGTACACCATGTGATATCCTTTGGTGATTCTCTTGATCCTCCCCCCCCCCACGCTGGGAGTTCATTTTCATCAAAGTGACAATCGGCAAAACGTGGCGTAAACATATCTCCAGTTATTGGTTCAAGATATCTAATTATACTTGAGGACGTATAGCCGATATATATTCCTAATCTCCTTTGTGGCTCCAGTTTATTCTTTGCAGCTGGGGCTATTGGACATAGACCGCACATCCAAAAATACGGAGATGGGATACATTTGGCTCATTTCCAGATGTTAACTGTATTGGGAAATATTCATTATATGCATTTGGCCTCATCTGGACCAATGCCCCAGCATGCGTTGGGAGTTTTGTCCTCAATATTAACGGTCTTGCAATTTATTGCAACCGTTTAATCAAAGACTCAGCCATGACATTTTGTGTATGAACATGTGGAACCGGATGCTCAACATCGATTCCCAATGACATACAATAGTCATTAAAAACCACTGAAGTGAATTCACCAGCGTTATCAAGCCTGCCTTTCTTTATGGCTAGGGAATTGGGCTCTCAACCTGATTATTTTGGGCAATGAATCTTTCGAAAGCCATATTTCTTGTGGTCAATAGACACACTTGTGACCATCGACTAGATGCGTCAATTAATACTATAAAATATTTAAATAGCTCACACGGTGGATGAATCGGCCCATATATATCACCATGTATTCTCTCTAAGAATACAGGGGATTCATTCCCAACTTTGGCTGGCGAGGGCCTAGTTATGAGTTTTTCTTGAGAACATGCTTGACATGAAAACTCTCCCGATTGAAAAATTTTCTGGTTTTTTCAGTGGGTTGCCACTCGAATTTTGCACAATCATTCTCATCATGACTGATCTAGGATAGCCAAATCTTTCATGCCATACTCTAAATGTACTAGTAAACCCCGGGTTTACTGTAACATAGGATTCAGTCATATTTATTTTTGTGCAATATAACCCAGAGGATATCATTGGTAATTCTTCCAATACATGTTTCCTCTCAGATGTAATGCAAATATATTCAGTGCCATTTTTATTTGTACTTGCTATATGATATCCATTTCCTCGGATATTTTTGAAACTTAGCAAGTTTCTGCTAGATTTTGGGAAATATAATGCATCACTTATTTCAAACTTTGTCCTCTTTGGCATTGAAAAATTAGCTCTTCCAGAGCCTATTATAAGATTTGCATTACCAGATATGGTACTCACGCTTCCGGCAAAATCCTTTATTTTGAGATAGGAGAAATACTTTTTATCTTTAAGTATAGTATGTGTTGTAGCACTGTCTGCTAAACATGTATCTCCATCCTGAATCTCAAATGATGACATATTTTGAATCACAATATATAAAAAAAAATATTAATAAACCAAAACATGATCTTAAAAGTTATTTTACATTAAGAAAATTTTTCCATGTTACAAAAATATATTACATCTTATTTAAAATTACATTAAGAAAGAAGAATTTATATTACATCGATCTTAATCGCTTTGTTTCCGTTGATTCTTCAGGATCAACAAGGAAATCATCGATATCAAGATGAGTACAATCACTTATGCCATCAAAGGAAGGTCTAACTTCATCAGAGATAAAATTGGTTTCAAAATCCTTTCCTTTATCCTTTTCTTTGGCATTTTGTGATGCTCGCTACAGATCAGCTAAATGTCTTGGTGTACGACAGGTACGTGCCAAATGATTTTTCATGCCGCATCTGTAACAAGCAACTTCTTTTTGCTTTTCTGCTTCCCGACCAACATCATTTTGTCTTCCTCTTCCACGACCTCGTCCGAGATCGCGGTAACAGCCTCGACCATGTTCGCGTCTGCGTTCGGTTCTATTATTTTGACTGATGATGCAACATCTCTTGTCCACATACATCATCTTGGAAGTAATTCCGAACATTGCGAAATTATATTCACCAAAAAATTTGTTATCCTGAAACCGGAGGTTTAACCACTCATGTTTGGCTTTTGGTAAAATCACATATTTTTGATTATCAAACCAATCTTTAAGTGATTGTCAAAGATCTGCTGGATCTTCTTTCGTGATGTATTCTTCTTTTAAACTATTATCCATGTGATGGAGCAAAAATAAAAATATTATGGTTTCGCCTTTTTCTCATCTGATGTCGTTTCTGACTTATTGATAGTATTGAGAAGCTCGTTTCCCCTTAGATGCATTTTTGCACCTACTGCTTATGACAGTAATTTTTTCCAAACACATCAAAAACATGAATTTTGAGCTTTGCCAAATTTGACATAATAACTGTATAACAATTTATTAAAAATAAATTTAGCAAAAGTTCAGTTTAAAAGTGTGTTTTTCGAGAAAAACATGATAAAAATTTCAATTCTCGCATACAATAAAAGCATAAATTTAAAACAGTACATGAGCATAGCCTTCCATATAATTTGAGGAAGCAGAGTCTACCATATTTTTGAGGAGATAGAACCTACTATATTTTTGAGTCTACCATATTTTTGAAGAAGAAGAGTCTACCATATTTTTGAGGAGACAGAGCCTTCTACTCCATAAATATAATATTAAGGAGGAGTTTTAATCTTCTACTCTATATATATGATCTGAGGAGACATAGTCTACCATATGTCATATGATTGTAAATGTATAACCTATTATAATGATCAGTTTGGAGAAGGTAGAGCGTATCATCTCGTTAACTTAAAAATAAATTGAACATCAATTTAAATTATCAATTTGGGAAAAATAGAGCTTATCATCCTGAAATAATATATAAAGTTGAACATAAATTTAAATTTTACTTCTTCGATATAAGAACGGATTTAGAGACATTTGTGTTGATAATGTATTATAACTCTAACTTATTTTTATATGTAAGGTAAGATTTATTTAATAGGTAAGTGATAGGGAGAGACAACAAAGGCATGAGAGTATAAAAGGAGAAATTCACTTCAACTTATTCATTTCATTTTCTTAGCTTAACAACATATTTATAGTGATAGTGCCAGTAGAAACAAAGTGACCGACTTTGGTAAATCTGTGAAAATACCTTCACCTGGAAGTAAATATTAAAATATTGAAATAAATAATTATATCCAATATTTACTAATTATCTGTCTGAAGTTTTTGTGCTTTTATAAGTAAATTTGACTTAAAGAAACAAAATAAAAAATAAAAGCAGCTGGCATACACTTACTTTCGCTTAATTTATAAAAACGACAATAAACACACACATTTCTTGACGGTCTCTTTCGCTTCACTTTCCCATTTAACTAACCACATAATTAAGTTGATAACCTAAAATATTAAATATCAAGAACATCGTTTTCAGTTGATATTAACAACATAACATTTTCAGAGTCAAAAGTTACAAAAATTAACTAAAAACCTCCGGCTAAACAAAATACAAGCAAGTTACGAATATATATATATAGCATGATAAATCAAACTCTTGGATTCTCTGCTTCCTCCTTAATATCCTGTCGGAAACTCGCATCTTCCGTACTCTGCATACTCACATTAAATTTAACCAAATTAGCTTCTTTAAATTAAATCCAACTTTAATTAAAACCCAAACGAATCATAGGATTCTTTAAACCCAGCCCCTAAACACTATTCAAACAATGAACCAATCAATAAACGCCACGTCACTACTAATCGACGTTCACGTGGGAACATTTGTCTTCTCTATTTGACCGAATCTAGACCACTCAAAAAATGGCAACCCTAACAAGCGCACGATAGCACGAATCTTAACCTACGCTTTATTAACCAAAAAAGAGAGGGAAAGTGATAAAATACGCACTCGGTGGTTGGCTAACGACGTATGCGGCGCCGCCGAAGTAACAGCTACCTCCGGCACGACCTTTCTTCTGGTAATAACTATTGAAAGCAAACGAAGCGTGCGCCTCAAGCGTATCTGGACTATAACACGTGGCACCAGGCTGAATCGGACGGCAATCAGCACCTCCTTCACCACAAGCGTAATCTAGACCTCTCTGTAGCCGATCCGCTCCTGCATCACCATTAGCTACACACCACGAGCTCCCCGTCAAGCTCTTGGAAACTCCTCCGCCGTTAATCGGAGGCGAGACTCGCTGATCTCCGGCGACCGGAGTGTTACGAAAGTGCTTTAACCCTTCCTGCGTGAAAGGAACGTCGTAGACTTTCTTCTCGTCGGGGAAGAAGAGACCGTAGTTTCTCTCCGACGTAGGTCCGAATTTCTTGTTCTCGTTGAAGAGAGCGAAGAGGTAAACGGTGAGATCCGCTTTAGGACGCAGCGGCGTACCTCCTCCGGTTAAAATCCGGCGGATTAAGTTTCCGTTGTAAGACGCGGCGTTCGCCACGGTGGCTCCGACTTCGTTCTCGTCTCCTTTTGAAGGCCAGCCTGTCTCCGTCACGATGATCTCGATGTCGTCGTATTTCAAAGCCGACATCGCTGCGAAAACGGCGTCGATCTGTGCGTCGAAGAGGTTGAAGTATCTCAACCCGTTACCGGAATCAACCATTCCCGGATTCTCTCTGAGCAGAGCGTAATCGAGAGGAATCACATCGGAGTTTCCTTCGTAAGCAAAGAACGGATAGACATTGATCATAAGCCTCGAACCGGTTTCGCGTAAGAAATCGAGCATCGGTTTGATGACTAAATCGACGAGCTCCGGTCTGAAAGAACCGGAGGAGGAAGGGTAAGAGTTTTGTAGCGCGCTTAAAGCTAACGGAGAAGAGATTTTAATGGAGGAGTGGAGGTTGAAACTGATGAGAGCTTTGTGAATGTTTCTCATTGCTGGGATTAAGAACTTTGTCGTGTTGTGTGGATCAACGAAGACTTCGTTTCCGACAGCGATTGATTCGATCTGCGTCGAAGGGTGATAAGCTGCTACATTGCGTTTGACCCACGAGGCGGCGAAGGAAGCTCGTTTCGCGGCGGAGAAGAGGATTTCGTTTGGGAGATCTACCGTGACTCGGATTCCAGATCCGGATAAGGCTTTGAGTACGGCCGGGTCGGCGTCGAAGATTTTGACCCGGTCGATTCCTTGGGATTTTAGGAGCTGGACTACTTTGACTGCCGATGGGAGTTCGTCGGAGATTCTGCCGTAGTTTACTCCGATTGAACCAGCATCTGCAAAAAGGACAAAACATATTGAGAATGTGTGTTTGATGTAATGTATCTTTGTCAAGAAAAGTGTAATATCGTTACCTGAGAGTGAAATGGGTGAGAGAAGGAGAAGGAAGATGAAAGATGTGAGGAAGAAATCCATACTCAGCTTCTTCTGTAGAGAGAAGAGAGCAGGAGGTAGAGAGAGAGGAAGACGAAGAAGGAGACACAGAGAGAGAAACAGAGACAGAGATATTAGGGTTATTTGAGAGTGGTGTCGTGAGGAGTGAAGTAGTGGCAAGGACTGAGTCTTATTATCCGAAGGAAATAAAGTTTTAAGTTAATTATCATTTTTTCTTACTGAATGTTCGTTAATAACCTATTTGAGTTCACATGTCATCATCTTTCATCTCTTTCGCATCTTTCACATGTCACAGTATATGATTAGAGTTTACAGCTAATCATGTGGATAATTCATGGGTTTTTTTTTTGTTATGAATCTGAATCAGGTTTTTGTTTCTATTTTTGCTAACAAATGGTTAGAATGTAGATGATTGTTTATTCCTCCTTGCTCAAGAGACTGATTTAGACGTAAAGTTAAATTCTGTTTATTTCGTCATGTTTCATCCACTTGCCACTTGGTGTGTGAGTTTATTAGGGATGGAATTTATAATTGAATTGAACTAAACCGAATTTATTGGTAATATATTTTAGGAATAGTTTTTTTTTTTACAGTTTAAGTACCTAAAAAAATTCGACAAGCCAAACCGGTGGTAATGAGTTACATAACTAATATCTTAAGAGTAGATTCGAACACTTCTTGCAAGGATGTCTGCCTTCATATTTATTGCGTGTGAGATGTGCGAAATAGAGAAAAAATTAAACCTGTTCTTCATCTTCACAATCTCCTCCAAATGTAGATCAAATATTGGGCAGTCATCGGGTTTAGACACCATCTTCACCACCTCCAAATAGTCTGTTGCAAAAGTTACAAAAGTCTTTTGATTTTCCAGCATACAATGCATAGTCCATATAAGGGCTTCTAGTTCTGCATGTAGGGGAGTTAGACTCCGCCCTACATTTGGTGCACCTAGTACTGTTTCCTGAGTCCCTTCTTTCAAATAATACCAACCTAGACCAGCAACTAAGTCTGTTTCTTTCTAAGAGCCATTAATATAACACCACCAGCCATTGTGAAGAACCGGTATCGAGTGGTCTGTAATTTTGCCAGGATGTGAGTGTATTAATTCCTGTTCGGAGCTTTGATCCTCCTCCCATAGAGCCGCTTCAGTTTCCGCTATCTTTAAGGTCACTTGTGGATCCATATCAACATTTGAAAACATTTTCTCATTTTGTGCCTTCCAAATATATCACACAATTCAGGGAAATTGTGTAGAATTCATATCCTTTAGAATTCTCCAAAATAGATGATCAAAGTTTGAATAAACCGATGGCTTGAGGAATATGCCTGGGATATGGGTATCTGCGATAATAACCAGGTTTTTAGGGCAGGAGACATTCAAAAAGAACTATTATTTTAGGAACAGTTATTCGGTTTTTTTTTTGTTAATTTTAAACCAATTTATATTGAATTATACTAAATTTACAAGAAAATATATTTAAAATTTTGAACAAATAATTGAATTAACTGATTGATCATATATATAACCAAAAATATTCAGTTTTTTTCTAACTTCAACAAAAAAATAGTTTATTTCAGTAAAAACAAAAAATTTGGAAAAAAAATATCTAATATTGAACAGAACCATAACATTTTGGTTAATTTTGATGGAGTTAAATTAAAATAGACTCAAAGAAAAAAAAACTACAGTAGTGTCGTAAAAGAAATTGAGTTTACATGGCATGCTGACCCTACCATGTTTGGTAAAAAGTACTTAAATTTGCTGGCTTTTCATCAGAAATATGTTAAAGAGAAACAAAAAAGAATGATGTCAAAAAAAAAAAAAAAGAATATGAATCTCGAAATACTAACACCGCAGACACATTGCAATTTGTTTCGAGTGGACTAATCAAATTTGTTTGATTCTCAAGGTTCTAGTTTTTACAATTGATACTAAAGCTATCTTTATTTCAACAAAAGTGATATCTTCAGGAGAATATAGAGACACATTTTTGCTGCAGACAAAATTAAAGCAAATCCAAATGTTTTCCATTCTCAACGGATAATATTTGTTTTTTTTATCTAATTTTGAGTAACTGCATAAAATTCCAATAAAATTTATGTAAATTAACTGATACGAAAACAACATTGTATAATCCATTATGTTTTAGCAAAATGATCGAATAACTGTTAAGTTTCTTGTACTTCCAACTTAAAACCAATTTGCGATAAATGGAGATGTCCAAATCTCTTATATACTAGTGTTAGTCCCTTTAAATTTTCGATGTCGGATTCTAACACGTCCCCTCGAGATGATGGTTCTTATCAGTCCATCTCGAACTGAATCCCATTTTAGGACCGATAATAAACCTTTTTTGGGACACCCTTCTAGGGTCAATAAACGAAGCTCTGATACCATGTTAAGTTTCTTGGGCTTCCAACTTAAAACCAATTGGAGATAAGTGGAAATGTCCAAATCTCTTATATACTAGTGTTAGTCCCTTTAAACTTCCGATGTGGGATTCTAACAATAATCCCTATATTCATTTGTGTTAAATTTTATTAATAACTAGACTTTTAGTAGATTCGGATCCCACAAAACTTGCATGTATCAAAGAAACCAATAGTGATATCCCAAAAGAGTAGATTTGGTTTTTATTTTTTAAAACCATTTTCCGTAGGAAAAAAGGATTTAGAGTTTCTTATAAACCTACTGTTATCCGATATCTGAGTTATATCGCTCTCAAAAAAAAATTATTCTCTAAAATTTGGCATCGAGGATTCTAAATTTGCCACTAAAACCAGGCGCCAAAAAAAAAAATTGCAGAGCAAAGAATCTGACAAGGTAATGTTACTTTGTTTCTTCTCTAATTCAAATCAGTGGGTATATTTGTTGATGTTTGTTTTCCGAAAAGGAAGGGATACCTGTTTTATCGGCTAACTAGTTGTCTTTTATTTTGCAGATAGCTGGCATCAACTTGCCGAGAAGGATAATCTCAACTGGTGATGTGCCATGGAGTCAGAGAGTTATAACTTATCAGAAATTGAGCATAATCCATAATCAGGTCTGACACTGTCTCTGCGACCATGTGTCCCGAAAATCTTTTCTCCTAGAAACATACGACGTTATTGCACACCAGTTTTTTGTTATTGTAAATGTCACCACAATTGTCTATCTATTGCCCCCTCACATAATTGAGTACTTTCTTGCCGGTTTACTGAAGCATTTATTGCGTTAACCAATGTTTTTAAACCCAATCTGGACCCGCAGTTGAACCGCTATATCTAGTGATCTATCGTAGAATCTGGTTTGGGTTTAATGCTAATATCCGCTGCATAAAAACCCGCTAAAACCAGGCAAAAACCCGATAAATCTGTGATCCGACTAGTGATCGAACCGGTGGGTAGCGGTTTAAAAGGATATTTTCGAAATTTTTTAAAAAATTGATTTTAAAGAGTTGACAGAACTAGCTGTAAATATTGTTATCAATACATAGTTATGTCAATAATATAGGAAAAGAGGAAACAAAAGTTTGATGTAAACCATTACCAGACAAGCTTCATTCTTACCAACTGATGGTGTTGTATGTGGGATAACGTCTTTAACAAAGGCTTGTTGCTCAAAATATTCATACCTATAAAATACACGTTAGTTAGTTATGCTCACCATTTTTCAAATGGAAAAAAGGAACTTACCAATCTTGTGGATGCATTCATTCTAATTATTCCAAGAGATATCAACTCACATAGTTGTGAACTATCTCTAGTGGTCAGTGTAGCGACTGGTGCTGGTGCGTTATGTAAATTAACTTTTCCGGTTAACGGCCTATTACTGACGAAATCCAGAACTACAAAATACCTCTTACTTAGAAGTGTTATTTAATTATAACTATATTAAAAGTTCTTAAAACTAATTAAAACTTTTGAAAAAGCATTTGAAGTCTAGAAAACAAGATCCAAACTGGAAAAATATCATCAACAGAAATCACAGGGAACTCAAAAATATCAGCAACCACACTTCTAGACCTTAATTGGAGGCAATGCATCAGTCAGATGAAGTCTAGAAAATTCTCACCAAAATACAAACATAACTAATCCATTAATCTGTCATGCGAAAATCTACACACTTAAAACTAACTTCCACTCAACTAGCTCTTAACATTCATTAAAGGTTTTGGTGATTCTCATCAAAAGGGTATAAACAAAGCATTTAAGGCTAGATATTTAAAGGGCTTTTTAATGGTGAGGTTTGATGTGTTTAAGGTTACATTTTCTGGAGAGACATGATATTATGCAAAACAGCAAAAAAAGCTGTTGGATGTCCACAGTTTCCAGTCACATTCTTCTTGCTTAAAGATTTCTGATCTCCTTTCTTCAGGTCCTCCTTATAACTCCCCCAGACTTGGATTTTTGTCCAGGTTGTGAAACCAAAATTCCATAGATGAATACTTGTAGCTCAAATAATTTTGGCTTCTAAAACTCTTTAGGCTTTTGGTTTTCTTTCCTTTCATTCGTTTTCTTTTTTTTGTTCTGTTTTTTTTTTGAAATAGGGGAAACCGCCTTTTGACATAAAGTCTTAGGGAACACGAAATTTACCTTTAAGAATGAGATTTCTGAGGCATCATGAAGCTTGATAAGATTGCATGGTACACTTCATTCCTGATTTCATTCAGTCCTTCTCTTGAGTGACTGAAAATTATGTTGTTCCTCACTCTCCGGCGTTTTTGCAAATATCTGGCGATAAAACTTAAGAGAGAATGCATGAGGTTCGAACATAAGGGTTTGGGTTAAGGGTATGGTCCCAGATAAAGATGAACTAGCCAACTAGGACAACAAAAAGTGGTAAAATAAGTTAAAGATGTCCTAGATGTATATTATGATGCCTTCATAAAACCATTGATGAGAAAATTATATGTCAAGATTAATTTCAAGTAAAATGAGTTAGTATATCCAGTTAGAAAAAATCTCCATGAATAGAAATTCTCTGGTGAGATTTCGTTGTGTAGGTACTCTAGCTACCGCTTAGTCTAGTACTAACCTTGAAAGAGCTTTCATAAATGGATGGTGTAGAAGCAAACAGGTTGGTTATCATTATCAATTTTGTCATCATTCCCTCAAAACGTATTTGACCTTTGAAAACACATTTTGAATTTGAAAAGACTTTTGAAAAGTTTTAAGAAA